TTTAAACAACTTAATCACAGCCAGGGGGACAATGAAATTTTGGGGTGTAAAAAGTACAAAAATAATAAAGCACTGTAACACACCAAAAATTCACTAGGGTGTTTAGAACTGTGCTTAGCCTGCCCTGTCTGAGGGGGTCACCCTAACCTGCACCTCACTTGCTGAGCAGGGGGTAGGAATCAGTGTGCTCTGGAAGCTGTGTGCTTACTTAGGAAAGAGTCAGATGTTGGCCTGCCGCAGCTAGGTTTTGTGCATCCGTTGTTGGTGCCCATTGAAACATTTATTCCATACATGGATGGAAAATATTTGAGGGGACATGGGGAGGCATGCTAAATGCCAGTGAGGGGGCTGGACATCAGGGTAGGTCTCCACAGCAGTTGGCTGGTGTCATCTGCCTTGGCTTTGGGCCACAGGGCCGTAAAATTGTAACATAATGGGCTCTAGGATTCTGCTGGTGGGGAGAGTCCCAGGTTCTAGTCCAAGCCCAGATTTCTACCTGCCTATTTCACAGACCTGCTCCAGGTGTTTAATTGCAGTGAGATTGGACTCCAGGGAGAGTCCTTGTTTCCATTCACTGATTGCCAGACCTGGAATCCCTGCTGAGCAGGACTAGGGGCTGACCAGGGCTATGTCTACGCTCGTGGCTTCTTGTGCGAGTAATATGCAAATGAGGCTATGCGTGGAATATCGCCGAGCCTCATTTGCATACCTAATGAGCCACCGTTTTTTTCACTGCCCCTTCTTGTGCAAGAAAAACCCTCTTGCGCAATGCGGTTCCACCTATTACTTTTCAGGAAGAACGGCATTGCGCAAGAGGGTTTTTCTTGCACAAGAAGGGGCAGTGAAAAAAACGGTGGCTCATTAGGTATGCAAATGAGGCTCGGCGATATTCCACGCTTAGCCTCATTTGCATATTACTCGCACAAGAAGCCGCGAGTGTAGACACATGCTGTGAGCCAGCGAAAAGGCGGGGAAGTTGCAATCGCTGGCAGCTGAAATCCCTAAAAGCTGAGTTCGGGTGTGGGGAGCATGGCAGCAAACAGATACAGATAGCACCAGTGAGACCATCCCCTCATTTTAGGAACGTGAGGGGAACCCCCATGGTCCTCTCTCAAGTCAGGGAGTAGAAAAATGATCACGGTGAATAGGGCACAGCTAAGGGAGAGGCGAGTAGCACATTAAAAGGGATATTTGTTTAGCACAGCCAGGAGGGAAACTGAAGCGAAGGACCCTGCCCAGTGGACAACGGGGTGGGTGTTTGCGTTTTCCAATCCTAGTGGGCATGTTTTCTCAAATGAACGCTGGGTGATTCCCTTTTACAAAAGGGTTTCATTTGCTCAGGGCTGGCCCGAGCCATTTTGGTGCCCTGGGCCTGGGGCTTTTTTGCGGAAAACAAATCTCTGCTGTCTACACTGGCCCTTTTGCCCAAACGGGAGCAGCATAGTATTTCCGCAAAAACACTGAGGCTGTGTCTCATGGGCCTGCAGGAGCAGGACTCTGCAGGCAAGGACAGCATATGGTGACCCCCTGCTCTGCCTCTATCAGGGACTGCAGGGACATGCCAGCCACTTCCAAGAGTAGGGAAAAAAGCCCCCCAGCCACGACAGGCTCAGCAGTTGAGAACTCACTGCTCAAAGAATTACGTTTAAGCGTAAGAGAGACATGAAAATGATGAAATGGCCAGACCAGTTAAAAAAGCAAAAATAAGCCACTTTGCAAGCAGTAAGAGAAGTAACAACAATCCCTCACGTCTGTGCTGGGTTGGGAGATGAGAGTGAGGGATAGTGTGGGTGTGTGAGAAGGACAGACACACACACAGGCTGCGTCTACATGATTTTTCGGAAATGCTTTTAATGGAAAAGTTTTCCGTTCAAAGCATTTTCGGAAAAGCGCGTCTAGATTGGCAGGATGCTTTTCCGCAAAACCACTTTTTCTGGAAAAGCGTCCGTGGCCAATCTAGACGCGCTTTTCCGCAAAAAAGCCCCGATCGCCATTTTCCCAGGACAGACACACACACAGGCTGCGTCTACATGATTTTTCGGAAATGCTTTTAATGGAAAAGTTTTCCGTTCAAAGCATTTTCGGAAAAGCGCGTCTAGATTGGCAGGATGCTTTTCCGCAAAACCACTTTTTCTGGAAAAGCGTCCGTGGCCAATCTAGACGCGCTTTTCCGCAAAAAAGCCCCGATCGCCATTTTCCCAATCGGGGCTTTTTTGCAGAAAACAAATCTCTGCTGTCTACACTGGCCCTTTTGCCCAAACGGGAGCAGCATAGTATTTCCGCAAAAACACTGAGGCTGTGTCTACACTGGCATGAATTTCCGGAACTGCTTAAAACGGAATACTATTCCGTTTTCAGTTTTTCCGGAAAAGGAGCGTCTACATTGGCAGGCTGCTTTTCCGGAAAAGCCCTTTTTCTGGAAAAGCGTCT